TCTGTGAATTCTGTTGTGAATTTAGGGAGCTTTATATACTCGAAGACGTGATGAAGCGGCGCGCGGCATATCTTCGAGTGGCCATGGTGGCCATCAATGTTGCAGCTCAAGTCGTAGTGGCCATCACACAGTGTTTCTACGACACGCCACTTCCTTGCCGCTGCACCTCACAAAAGGCCACAACAACTAGTGGCGTAAACGTGGATCTGGTCAAAGCGCCGCTCAGCCAACTTGGCCACATCCACCACCTTACGGTGGCGCCTAGGCTGTCGTGATCTGGATTAGGTCGATGTTACACCCAGGTAATACCGCATTGCTTCAGTGGGAAGGCCAAGTCAAATCCAAATCTGTGGTTGTATAGTGGCGAAATTACACCCACCAAGTGTCCAGTCGATGTGATAAGGTTGACCATGCGTCTCAGGGAACTGTATTTTCCCGTTTAAAGGACTTGTGGCAGGCATGACACATGTTCAGAGGTATTTCGTGGCGGCTGTGCCTCCAAGAACATCATAACGTCACGATAACTAGTGGCGTAAACAGCACATCATGAGTAACGTGTAACGCCGCCGAGCGACTGACTTGGTCCCTAGGTCCCTTCCCCGGAACTGAAAGTGCCAGCTCAACCGTTTGTGTTCACAATCATAACGATTTAGTTTGTTATAAATGGTTTTCAGTATCAAATCCGGTCTCAAGCCATGCTGATGACAACGTCAGATACCAATCTCTCATCGTATAAGGGAGCTTCCAATAAGTGAATAGACATTTTTTGGATCTGAGGGTGTTGGTCGAAGAGGTATGTTCGGTGTTAACCAGAAGGTAGAGAGAACGAACTCTTGAATGTGTTTGACGAGGAGAACGTAGAGATGATGACGAGGTTCGAATCCCAGTGAGGGAGTCCCGTATTCAAGATTCTGAGGTGGTGGATGCGGCCAAGTTAATCCAGCGGCGTTTTGACGAGATCCACGCTTAAGGCACTTGTTGTTGTGGACTTTTTGTGAGCTGCAACATAGATGGCCACCATGGCCACTCGAAGATATGCCGCGCGCCGCTTCATCACGTCTTCGAGTATATAAAGCTCCCTAAATTCACAACAGAATTCACAGAATCCTTCTCCTTCTCGAAATGCCTTCAACAACATCGATCAAAGCACCGACACAATGCAAAGAGCCCGCTGGCTGTCCCATTGACAATATTCCGATGAAATTCCTTCAACAAATCTTCATCTTGGCAGACAAGGGTTCTATCCCTTCCCCAACCGAAGTTCGCATGGAAAAACCCATAGGTTTCAACTTGATGCAGGTTTCCCAACGTTGGAAGGAGGCAGCAAGGTTGACGCCGGACCTGTGGACACGAATCACGATCTACCACCCAAATGACGACACCCTTCTCAAGACCCAGTTGTGTCTCACCCATTCCAATAACCAACCACTGGAAGTGGTGATTAATCAACGGAAACATAAAAGCTTTTTCTTCAAGGAATCTCCCCGCGGAATAGCCGATACTTTTGATCGCATTATTCCTCATCTCCACTGTTGCCGACTGCTCGAGTCCTACGAACCTATCGGGGAGACAGCAATTATCGATAGATTATGTGCTCTCGGCCCAAATGACCTACCAAACCTCAAGGAAATTGTTTTCAATGCAACCAACTGGGTGGATGGTGCTCCAAAATTTTTCGAAATGCTTCGGACATTACCCAGTCTCCGTCGCCTCGAGTGGGACGGGGGATTGCCAAATCCAAGCACCCTCACTGCTGTTTCTGGCGCTGGATTGACTAAGATTAGCCTGGGTAGGATCCACATGGACGAGGCCATCTCCCTCTTGAAAGCAACACCCCAAGTCGTTGAATTTCGGGTTATTGGTCTTTTTGAAGCCAATTTAAGCCAGTGGACGGCTCAAAGAGTTACTCTTCTCAATCTTAAAACCTTAAATATCGGAGGTTGTGATCGTGCTCAATCCCTGTTCGACCATTTGAGGCTGCCGTCCCTCAAAGTATTGACCTTATGTGAATCCCATCCTAACATCGAAGATACTGCCCTGTTGCGGCTACTGTCGACGTCCCACTGTATTCTGACCAGTCTTCATCTCGGGTTGGGTGACTTTACAGAACTTGACCTCCATAAGAGACTGGCCCGGCTTTCGGATCGACTTGCCTTTCTCAAGCAATTGGAAGTGGATTTACGTGGCAATGATAACTACCTCACTCAGGAGTCCTTCAAATGGTTATCACCCGTGCCAATGCTCTTCTTCCCCAAACTAATTTCTCTCAGGCTGAGGGTTTGCCAGGTTACGATGGGAGACATTGCCGATATGGTTCAAGCACGTTCCAACAATGGGGCACCTCTACAGTCCCTGAAGCTGGAGACTGACGATACTGGTTACGAAAGTGGGGTTGATGAGGAGAATGCACTTGAATCCCTCAAAGCCGCATTACTGGAAAGAGGCATTACCCCTGGGGACAGGGTTGGTCAGCTGCGCATTGCGCTTGTGACTGCTTGACCAAAATTTGGAAGAATCTTCATAGTCAGTGAGCTCCGTGACCTTACCCATTGTACACAAAAATAAATGTTCTCACGTGCTCCTTCCAAGGCCTCGGTGTTCATGTAGTGAATGTCTTGACGATATGCTGTGGTAACACTTTCTAAACGGAATAATAATAAAAGAATTGATCATACTTTCCATATTACCCAAGCAGAGAGTTGATACTCGTTTTGCATCAGGTGGAATATCAAGTGTACGGGATTTCTGTATGCAAAGGGTCGATACAGCATTGACATTGCCCCGGGAAGGTAGGTTTGAAGGGACGACGTCTTAGTATTGTCGCAATTTGAATGATGAGATAGGAACTTGCCTCCTAACAAAATTCGATGAGTATTGTCGTACTTCTTGCCCGAGCATTCATGTGTTCCCATCTCTACCGAAGAATTTTACTTAACAACGGAGTTAAAGACAAAGTCAGAATCCGACTCTCTCGTGGTATAACGGCTGAATTACACACACCAGATATTCTTTGGTTTTGCTTTCATTGTGCGTGTGGGATCTGGGTTCGATTCCCAGCGAGAGAACTAGGCGTGATGTCAATAAGGTTTATTTTTTTTTCGTCCATGTTCGTCCAGGTGCTTATATGGTCGAAGAAAGTCGGCAAGGCTTACCATGACGTGGACACAGAGGGAATACACGTCAATCATAGCCCCGAACCTTTCTCTTGTCCTCGTCTCAACCTCTTCGTGAATCATTGATCAGTTCGAGTTCCGCAACCGAGATAGACGCATCTGGTTCGACGATTTTCTCTGCTGACGATGCGTACAAGACGAACAAAGCTTCAGAAGTGTGCGGAGCCTCTGTCAAAGGCAAAGTGGGCATCGAACTTTGAAGTGGACGGGGAAGGGCGCAACGCCGGAAAAGACGCGATTGGATTGGTCTTTACGTAATGTTGACTTCTTCGGCATTGCGGACTCTTTTCTCCGTTCCTCCCTCCTTCGCTCCATCGCCGTCGCCGTCCATTGACATCTCAGGTTGACGCGTTGACGACCGATGCAATCAGGCGCTGTCCACCATCGTAAGCGCGTAAGCCCTCGTGCACTTTCCCTATCCTCTTCCCTTCTCTGCTGCTCAAAACCCCATTATCCCTCCCTCGTATCTCCTCTCGTCGTGTTCCCGTTCGTCTGTCCACTCCTCTTGCTCATCGTCTTAGAACATATCTCCGAACCACCTGAATATGATGTTCCACCACTTAAGCGCTTAACGTTGGCGTTGAAGATGCTGAAGACATGGTCGTGACGAGCCAAGATCCGTGAACACGAGTGTTGCAGAAGGAGATGATCATGGAGCCCGAAGAGACGGAATAGCAGGGCTTTGAAAGAAACGAAGGACGTGGTAGATGTCGATTGTGGGTATGGTGAAAGTCCTGCTTCAGAGAGGACTTGACATTGATATGACGCTTTTTTAGCTTCGAGACGGTGGTCCTTCCATGTCGAACACTCTGTTACGGGGTTATTCTGCCTTGAGCATACAGCCGACATACGTTCCATCCCTGCGCTGACCATGTCTCAGAGTGGCTACAGTCGTTGCCCGTCACCTCAACCACCCTGCCACCTTTCCCTCTCTTCACTCGTCCTCACCTCCATTTCCGATCCGTCTTCGTCCTCTCCCCACGTCCCTCCTCCTTCTCCCACCCACTCATCCCCCCTTCTCCTTCCTCTCCTCCCCTTCTCTCCTCGTTTTAACCTCCCGCACACCGCCAGACGTGCACTCCCATCGCCCATGTTCCTAATCCACTCCGACCGTCAACAAGGAGCAATCAGACGAGCTGCCCTAATAGCAACCGATCTACAGTAGCTTGGTTTTTCGATAACCTCCCAGTATCGGCGCTTCCGTTGGCGTTGCACCTCCATTGTTGGTTGCTTCCTTATTTGGAGTATATCGGGACTTTTATAGGCTGGGGTTGGCATACGATGAAGGGGTATGATATGGGTAAGCTCTTTTGTGCTCCCTGGGTGGCTTTGATGGTTTTTTCGAGGCTTATATGCGACATAGGAAACGAAATGATGTTAACGGCGATGTGGATACTTCCATTTGCACTTATACCGACTCCGTTCTCCTCGTCCTCGTTATCTTTCACCAACTCTAATTCCCGAGCTTGTCAATCCGCTTCTTTACCTTCCGTCCTAGTCGAGCTTGAGCTTCATCCTTCCTCACTATCACCTACCTTACCGGTACCACCATCTCATACACCACCGACAGATGTTCAGTGAGGGACTTCCATAACTCTCTTCTGAAACCATAAAGTCAGTTGCCATATATTTCCGTTCTCGTTTTCGTTGTTCTTCCTGGACATCAGACGGAGGACAGGGCATACCACGGTAAAGCATGATTCCATGCAAAGCAATAAGGAGGTCCTTGCTCGAAGACTCTGTAGAATCAATAGCGCTCCAAGCCATCTGAACGCCTTGAGGTTTCGAAGTTCGAGGGCAGGGAACTGGAGGTATCGGTGACTCAGATATTCAGCTGCTCTCTGCAAAAAGGCGAACACAATATCAATCTCACGAAGATCAGGAACCCAATGTTCTAACCTCCCGGATTTGTTTGACAGAGTAGAGGCGAGAACGAGATCATACCAGAGATTCGGTAGAACGATGCTGTAGACGGTGAGGCCGAATCGGAATCTCTCGTCGTATAACGGATTAATTACACACACACCTGATATATGAGCACATTCTAGCTTTCCTGTTCTGTGTGGGATCTGGGTTCGAATCCCAGCGGGAGGAATCATTTCTTCGCAAAGCGCATTTTTGTCTCATCGGTCTGTGTGGTGAATAGAGTGCATTGAGGTTTGAATTCGTTATCTTGCTTTGATTGTGCGATAGGGTTATACTCTATGGACCTTAGTACTTATTACATCGATCGGATAGTCAAGAAGATTGACCTCGACGCCTTGAAGCGCACTATACGTGCGCGGACGGACGGTGTGGCCACTTAACCTTGATTCTTGGGAAGTAAAGCAAAAAGTAGGAGGTTGCCGCCAATGATAAGGAAATCAAGTGATGCCCAATGATTTAAACGTGCGAATGTGAACTCACCTCCTCTGGATCGCAAGTGCCTGCTCAACCGTTAGTGATACCCATCTCTCATAGTATAGCGGGCCAAGTACACACACCTGATGTCCTGAAGACAAGGTCCAAGCATTCCGTGTGAGATCTGGGTTCGATTCCCAGTGAGAGAGTTTGGTGTGCTAGCTTTATATACGCAATTTTTGTTTGTCTCTTCTGGAGGCGAAGGTGAATTTTTGTCTATCATCTGAAACCTGGGGGTATGAGGCGAACGTTCAAATCGTGCAATTGGGAAGGTGCTGTCTGAGTGATATCGTTGATTGGATATCCCTTTGTGAGGCTGAGTAGATCGCGTTTGACTGTGCAACCTTTTTTGGGGAGGCAAGGATTAGATCGATGTAATGCGCACTTGTATGAGGTGTGAAACCGACGAACACAATTCGAAGAGTCCTCAGGTACACCTTTCAGGTTCTTGTCCGAGCACTGGCCGCCCCCGATTCTATCGAAGAATTTTTGCACTCAAATCCAATTCTCTTGTAGTATAACGGTTGAATTACACACACACCAACTAAATAGTTCGGACCTTCTCCTTCGGTTCGTGTGGGATCTGGGTTCGATTCCCAGCGAGAGAATTAGCCTAGGATGCAGGGAAGATTCGTTTTGCTGCAGATTCTTTCGCACATCTCGGATCCGGAATACAACTTGATTCTTGCTTGTCACGAAGACCATATCCACATTGACTTGGACAGCGGTTCAAATTCGAGCATTCCGTGTTCAAGCCCAACTGGAAATATCGTCACATACCAGTCTCTCATCGTATAACGGACTCGGATAATTACACACACCAGTTATTCGAGATGATACATATTGGATCTGCGTTTGATTCCCAGTGAGAGAACTACCACGATAAAGGTTTTGCTTTTGTCTCGCCCTCATCCCTCTCGGACCTCCTAATGGTATTACAACTTGTCTGGTTGGAGAAAGTCGTCAAGGCCTTCCATGCCCTGGATCTGTAGAGGAAATCCACGTCACTCGTGGTCCCAAGCTTACGCTTATCCTCGTCTCAACCGCTTCGTGAACCGCTAATCAACTTTGCAGATGAACGAAAAGCGGACAGGTTCGATGATTTACTCCACCAACGGTGCGTATGAGACGCAAAAAGATTCCAGAGGTAAGTTGGACCTGCGTCAGAGGCAAAATGGGCGTCGAAGTGGATGGGAAGGCACAAACTCGACGCGATTGTGTTTTGACGTAATGTTGTATTTTTTTCGGCTTTGCGGACCTTTGCTCCGTTCCTCCTTCCCCCCGACCCCATCCCCGTCCATCGACATCTCAGGCTGCTCTGCAGTAACTACACTTGGATACGCTCTTTTCGCATCCTCGTAGTCGACAGGTCCACCTGGACAAGGACGACGATGCGGCAAAAACGTAGCTAAAGGTCCGCGCAAGAACATATTTATGCTTCGTGGAGACGGGTACGAATCAAGCGCCCACCGTCATCGTAAGCCCTTATCCGTTCTAATCCTCCCCTTCCCTCCTCCTTTTCCTCGAAACCCAAGTCTCCCTTCCCTCGTGCTCGGGTTCGCTCCCGTTCCCATTCATGTTCCTCCCACACACCTATCTCATTCCTCATTGTAGAATCCATCTCAGGACTATTTGAATACGATGTCCTACCGCTCAATCCGGTGTTGAAGATCCTGAAGCATGACAGCGACGACCAAAGACCCATCAGGAGCTATGAACGCAAGTGTTGTTGCGAGGATATAGTCATGGAGCAGCAGGACTTTGAAAGGAACGAGCGATGTGGTGGATATGGGTTGTGGGATATGGCAAGTGTCTTTTTTTTTTCGAGATACGGCTTGTCTGAACCTTTTTTTTATAGCTTCGAGACGGCGTTTATGCCTTGTCAAGCGCACTGTTTCAGATTTTTTGAGCAAATGGCCGACGTACGTTCCATCTCCGTCCTCTCTCCATCCATAGCATGCTAAACACGCCGTATAGACGCGAACCCAATTCCAAGGGTCGTTGTCCGTCGTGTCAATCACCCTGTACTCATTCGCTCCTCTACTCGTGGCGCGCTACACACGCTCTCTAGTGGCTACACGCGCCCAGTTCCAACTGTCGTTGTCCATCGAGTCAGTTACCTTGTGCACTTTCGCTCTCCCCACTCATCTTCAAGCATTCCCCGCGTTGGTGCATCTTCATCTCCAACATCACCTACTCCTTCCGCATCCTCTCGCGCATCAGACATGCTCAACACGACGCTCGCCGCTGCTTCTAACGCTTCGTCGTTATATACTTCCACAAAGCCTCATTCGACGTGGGCGTCTTTCTCCCAATGGAACCGACCAATGCGCAACTTATCCGGCTTGACGTCTTTCCTTCCTCCTCGCAACCCGTATACAACCTGTCTCCATAAAATCACTCTCCCCTCCTCCTCTTCTTTTGACAATGGCTTCCACGGGATCTCATTCGACGTCGTTCCTCCCTCTTTCACCTCCCAACATGCAGACAACAGATTCTAAACCTCATCTATGTCCACGGCTGGTGGCTATGATCGTGAACCGCTCCTCTCCCCGAAGGAATGGGGCCCTGTCGTCGGGAAGTTGATGAATTTCGCGGCGTTGATGTTGGCTTACGACGTCGAGCTGGATCTTCGTCCTCCTGCTCACTCATTCAACATGGACCCTCCTCTTTGGCAACCATCAGTCGTCAATTGCCCTTCTCACTCCCCAAGGACGCCACCAGCTTTCATCCACATTGAAACACCCCTCCCTCATCATCGATCATCACCTGCATTCAAGTCACTCCCCAAATATATTCGTCATAACGTGACGTTCTCACATCATCAACCTCTTCCGGGTCGTTCAACCCATCACACTCATCCACATTCAACATATACATGCTCCCGCTGATAACCACGTCCCTCAATGACGAAACCTTCGACAGTTTCCCCCCCTCCCCTCCTCTTTGTTCCCGTTTTGATTCATCCGAAATGTTTACTGCGTTTAAATTGGTGGAGTGGTTCATGGGCTTGGACGCCTGGTATTCCCTTCGGCTATTCCGTTGCTGGTCCAGCTTCGTTCCTCCTCCTCCTCGTTCTCAACTACGTCCAACTCTTCTTAAACCACCACCGCGTCGAAAATAGGTAGTTTGTGGACGTGAAAAGCCCTTGGAACCCAAGGAATGGTGTGCCGTTCGAAAGCTGTTGGATATCATCGCAGTGATGTTGATCCATTCCACACATGTACTCGTGACGGCTCTCTGGTGGACACCTTTCGTACATCTTCCTCGTGTTTACCTATCGAACTCGTTCTCGTTTCGTTCTCGCTATCAATACTGCAGATCATGTTTGATTTATTACTCCTGTCGTCGTATTCGAATGTGTTTAAATTGGTTCTGGTATTTATGTGGTAACGTTCTTGGGTCTTTAGGTTGTATTACTATACAGTAAACCCGTCCAGTGCCCGTAAGGGGAAAAGAAGACGGCTGCGAGTTACCAGTACGTAGACCTCGGCAACCTCCAGATAAATCCTGCGTTGTATGCCCCTCCTGGTGCTTGAGCTCGACAGGCTGTTGTACGAAGTTGGAAGAGAAGATTCAAAAGATTACATTCCGGAGGTTCGACGACGAGCCACCAAGACAAGCAAATTGCGGTCGCCAAATCTCAAACGACACTGATGATGATTTCAAATACCGATCTCTCATCGTATAGCGGTAGCGTATCTACACAAAATATCCCAAAGGTGCTGATGGTATGTGTGTTCTGGGTTCGAATCCCAGTGAGAGATATACCTGCGTATGACCGCCTTTTTTCTCCTGGTTTCGTTGATGTCGAGTGACCGTACGACTGTGCAGTATCCATGTCGTCGAAATGACGTGCCCCCATCGAACTTTGACTTGGAAGTATGCATATATACATCCTTGAAATGGTAGGACGTAACGGACACGGGAACTCTGGGTCCAGATATTCAGCTGCTCTCTGCAAAAAAGTCAAACCTGATATCAATCTCTCGTCGTATAATGGTTAATTACATACACAATGTGTGTGGATAGTAATACTCATTCCTGTGTAGGATCTGGGTTCGAATCCCAGTGAGGGTGTGATGACCGAAGCTGTGAAACTGCGTTTTTTGGATTTGGGGGTGTTGGTTGAAGATTTATAGCACGTTCGACGTTGACTGGGATGTATAGGTGTAGTGCAGTAACCCCCTTGGGAGTCTTCTTGGTACTTTTGTCTGTATACCTTCTCTTCGTCGGTGTCACGGTCTCGATTTGCATGTCTGTCGAAGTATGCGGTGAAGATCAAACGAATGTCAACGGGGGTCGTGGAGACGAATAATCCGATTCCCCAACCTCTCGGAATTGTTTCACGAGGGTAGAGTGGAGATAAATACGATGAGGTCGTGCTAGAGTTCCGGTTGAATGACTCAGTAATGTGCAGGCAGTGAGATCGAATTGGAATCTCTCCCGTCGTATAGCGGATTAATTACGCACACACCCGATGAACTGTGCTCAATGTATTCTGTGTGAGATCTGGGTTCGAATCCCAGCGGGAGAACTTCCAAATGGCGAGTTTATTGTCTTTTTCTTTTGGCTAGTATCAAGTACGTCGTTTTAATTGTCTGGTTGTGGAACCAGTCTCGCGATTATTCGATTAGGCAGCAAGTTTTTGCTGGGTGGGCGTTGCTACGTCTATCAGATAATTAGAAGAAATAACGGCAACAATATCAAGGGCGCTATACGCACATATAAGGAGGTAGAAATGAATATTGTGGCTTGTTTAGCCTAGGTTTCGAGAGAAGATGATTATACGTCGTGGAAAGGAGGCGTTTATATCAAACGTTGTAGTATCCTGGAAGGGACGCCACCGTGGTGAACAGCACGAACATGAACTCACCTCCTCGCAATCGAAACTACCTACTTGACCATTAACACCCATCTCTCATAGTATAATGGTTGAATACACACACCTTATATTGCGTTGGCCTTGTTTCGAAACGTTCTGTGTGGGATCTGGGTTCGAGTCCCGGTGAGAGAGTTCGGTTTGACTCTGACAGAGTGTTTGCTTTTTTAAATGTGATTTTTGCCTCGCTTCTGGAGGCAAGGGAGGGAAGTCGTAGTAGACCCTTCGAAATGTGGAATCGGAACATCGGTTCGAGTCGTCTGGTCGATACGCTGTTGAGATTGTTTCGGCAAGTTGGGTAGACTGCCCTTGAAAGGACGACGTCAGTTCTTGGTCGTGATCTGAATCACGATGTACCGTGAACTTACCAACGTCAAAATCGGACCAGTTTTGATACGTCCCTCGGGCTCTTGCCTTAGGATGCAGCTCCCCATCTCAAAGGATTGTGCACTGAACGATAAAGAAGGCAAAGTCAAACATAAATCTCTTGTGGTATAATGGATAAATTACACACACCGGATATCTGATCCGTGTTCTGGGTTCGAATCCCAGTGAGAGAATTACAATGTCTCACTATGCCCTTTTTTGCCACGATACAGGAGCCATATCTCGAAATCAAGCTCGAGCCTCGTTCATGAGAATGACGGATACATACTCACGTTTACAAACTTGATGATAGCAGACCCAACTCGTCCTTGAGGAGATCTTGTCTGCGATTGAATCAATCAAGTATGTAGTCCTTCAAGCTACCAATCTCTCATCGTATAATGGATAAATTACACACACCAAATGTACATCGTGGTTATGTTGTTTCCGTGTGGGATCTGGGTTCGATTCCCAGTGAGAGAAGAACAAATTCGTGTGGCGTATTTTTGCTTTTTCGTTGTCCCATCCTGTCTGGTCCAGCGTGATTGTATGACCAGAGCCGACAATCGAGAAAAGCAACGTCCGGATTTTGTGATACGAAATCAGAGAGTCCATCTCGAAGGCGGCATGAGTGCAGCGTCGTCGTCGTGCCACGAGTCGAGACGGTTTCTTTACGTATGTTTGTTTTTCTCTCCTCCGCTCCATCCCCGTCTCAGCGCTCTACTTTACCTCGGGCTGCTCAGTTGCAACCACGCTCCGAACACGTTCTGCTCGCATGCCCAAGTCCTGGTGAATCCGTAGTCGACAGGTCCCATAAGACAAGGACAACAATGACAAAAACGTAGCTGAAGGTCCGCGCAAGAGCACCATTTCGCCCAAAGCTTATTATCATGAACGAATCAGGCGCTGACCGTCATCGTAAGCTCTCATGCACTCTCATTCTCATCTTCCCTCTTCCAAGTCCAAGTTTTCCTGTGCTCCTCCCCGGATTCGCTCCAGTTCACATTCTCGCTCCTCTGGACCATCTTTCTCACTCTCGGTTTTAGAACCCATCGCTGAATTACCTGAATATGACGTTCTACCACTCAATCTTGGTGCCGAAGATCCTGAAGATATGGCCACTCCAGTTATAGGTGACGAAAATCGATTGGCAAGAGTCAACACGAGTGTTGTTGTGAGGAGGCGATCATGGAGCCCGAAGAGGTGGCGGAGTTATACTAAGAGCTTCAACATGGTGAAAGATGTAGTAGATATGGATTGTGGGATATGGTAAGTCTCTTTTTTCTATCATTAGATGTAAGAGACTCATGACGATGGCTTTTTTTAGCTTCGAAACTGCGGTTCTGCCCTGTCAAACACTTTGCTGTGGAGGTTTATTTTGTCTTGAGCATATAGCTGACGTACGTCCCATCCTATATCCCGTCCTCGTTATCGGACTGAACGAATTGGGTAGTGGTTACATGGTCCCAACTCAAATGGTCGTTGTCCAACGTGTCAATCACCCTGTACCCTCTCCCTCTCTTCACTCGTCCTGAAAACTCCCGGCGCTGGTCTGTCTACATCTCCTCCCACGTCACCTACGCCTCGTCCTCGGAGTGACGCCCAAATTCAATACGCCCCGACATCACCAACTCCATCCACATCCTCACTCACATCAGACATATCCAACACTTCGCTCTCCTCCTCTTCCTCGTCCAACACTTCCACATCCTCTCATTCGACGTGGGCGTCTTTCTCCTTAGCGCAGCCCAACAACGCGGAACCCATCCGGCAATCATGTTTGCCAACGTCAATAACGGTCAAGCCATCATTGACGCCCAAACCTTCAATGTTTTTCCGGCCTACCACACCGCATATAGCCCATCCTGGACTACCACTACGTTCACGGCAGGTCGTCCGTGTTCGTGAAGAGGTCCTCGTACCCAAGGATTGGGGTCCCATTGTTGCAAAGTTGATGAGTTTTGTGGCGTTGATGTTGGTTTATTATGTGTTATTCTCGTGATTGGACTGGACTCTGCTCCACGATGTCTTATTCATTCTACATGGGCCCTCTTCCTCGGCAAACGTCAACCGCTCGCCATGCTTTATCCAAATCTTCCGTAGGGACGTCACCGGCGTCGTCGACGTTGACACGTTCCCTTTCATCCTGGCCTTATCGTTCATCCCAACTACTTCCAACTTGATTCCCTAACACCCCGGGTCCAGAAACCTCCACAAATGCAATACGTCCCTACATCACCAACCCTTTCCACATCCTCTGCCCTCCATCAAAGCCGATTATCGTCGTCGTCGTCGTCCTTGACGTCGAACCCTTGACTTTTTTCCCTCCTCCCCATCCCAAACCGCATACAGCCCGGTGTGTCCACGGCGGATCGTTCACTTTCGTCCTCCATTCGTTCCCCTTCCACGTTTCCACGCGTTCTCATTCCCTCCACTTGTGCAACAACATATACCCCTCACCTTCGTCCCAGTCGCAACTCCGTTGCTCTCCTTTGGGTTCTTCGTCCAATACTTCCAGTTCGACGTCTTTCATCAGCCATGGGCGCCGTTGTCTCTGAATCACTCGGGTCTTACATCGTGGAGGATCTCGTCGTCGCTGACAACGTCTACACCCCAAATGTACTCAAACTTCAATTACGCCGTTCTGGGCTCGGCTCGTGGAGAGTTGTCGGTGTCGTTGAAGGAAACGAGGTCATGTGGTTGGATTGAAGGTCCTCTCTGTGCTGTTGCGCTGATATTGGTCTGTGATGCGAAACTACTTATTCTCCGCATCGGCTTCGATAACCATTTGACGAGGCGACACCTCGTACTGGATGTATCTTGTCCTTCTATCTATCCATCTATCTCGTCATTGTTTCGCAATCTTTTTTTGGTTTATTACTGTTGTACTTGTACTTGTACTTTTAGTTGTATTCCGTCGTGTCCATTCTATGTATTACCGATCTTGTATTCCTATTATCAGAAACTCGTATCGCTGGCGTCGACGTCGCCTCATCGATTCACTACCTCACGAGTTATTCGCCTGAGCCTCTGATAAAGAAGTGATTAAATTCAATGACTCTAGAAACGAATTTGAAACAGGATCGAAGCCGCATAGGTGAGAGGCGCAAAGTTCAAACATAGCGAGAACGAGTAGACGACGAAAGTGTCCATGGAGGAATCAAAATAAACCATGCGGGTCCTAAGGTAACGATCTACTCGAGGTGAGGGATGTAGGAGGTCCATGAAATATCCATAAAGGCAGTCGGAGGGAGGTCACGGAGCGTGAGGAAGGCGAGTACCAGAAGACATAAACGAGCGACGATATAAACGACTGGGCCGATAAAAATGCCTACAATCACAAAGATCTCGCATGTCACCCGCACCACCGTCTGCCGCCACGTTCCCTTTGGCATCCTGAGATATACCTGATCTACGCGATGTAAGAGCAGAAGCAGACACGGCTGGGCAGCCAAAACGATAGAAGAACCTCTCCAGAGGAGTAACTGAGTGTGCGTAGGGAAGGTCGAGTTCCACGAAAGGAAGTGGATTGCTGCGAAGATGAGGCTGATGAGGGAGCACAATAGCAACACCAGATTCCGTTTTGCCTGGGGAATACACATGCCATAGAAAGTGGAGACGTTTCTGGCTTCTGAGTCGACGCTTTCATCATCGAATAGCTCCCGGAGTGGCATTACAAGAAGGAGGAACGGTTCCTTGATCAGCCGCTTCCAGGTGGTTAGATACCATGAGTTCTTCTTCGTATCACGTTTAAAAGGGAGAACCCGACTTGCAAGAGACGGAATGACGTCTTTCAGAGCATCTCCGATAACAGCGAGAGAGCTGGACGTGCAGAACACAGATGCCCTTCCAGTAACTTGGGGGTGGTCCTCAGCAAAAGTCTCCGTAGAGACAGAAGGCGAAGTAGGTCGTTGACTAGTAGGTAGCGGTCGGATATGAATGTAGACAGGGGAGAGCACATTGAGGGGTTTATTCCACCAAAGTGCGTACGTGATAACGCTCATCATTGAAAAACCCAACGCCATGACTTCTAGCTCGCTGAGAGGCAGCGGCCACCACAAGCGAGTTATAGAAGCGACGACAAACCATGCTGTTTGGGAAGCAACGATGAATTTGGTGAATATATCAGTCCTACTTGTGCGCTGGATCTCGGTTTTGGTTAGCTGAAGTTCCTTGATGTCGAGTTGACCGTTCTTGAGCAGCTCGATAAGCGTATGTGGATGGAGAATTTGTTTGTTATCCGTTCGACCGAAACCTCCCATTTGTGCAAAGTGGCCGTGCGTTTGTGTCCACTGTAATTCTTTATGCGACCGGTTGAATTGCGGAATCGACACACACATACGAAATTATGAGGCTTACCCGGGCTTATTTTGTTAATCTCCGCCGCTACAACATCTGCTCCAAACCGCTGGCGCATCGCCCAACAGATCATCATGTTTGGCGCTATCAACCCGTAAAATGCGATCTTGAACTTTACTTTCAGCCTTCCCCACATCGAAGAGGAAGGATCCGGTATGTTTTGGTGAACGGACCGGTATACGCAGGCTGCGATCATGACGAGGCAGCTTTTTATGATGTGGTAGAGAGTTCTTCCTGAGCATTCGCCTCCAAAGTCCACGGTAGACTTTGTAGTGATGGTGATGGTGGAGTGAAGTGCAGCGCCAGCTGGAAGAGGAATTGCCCTCACGACGAGGAATCCTGACATGGCGAGAAAGGTAACGACCATGTAACTGAAATTTTAGAGGTGAATCAGGACCTTAACGAAGGATTGACCAGACGAAACTTACAATGGGAACATGAAGAAATCAGGCAGGAGAGTTCGAAGTGGAAGACTCATCTTCGCCAGAAGAGAAGAGTGCAAGCCTCCCACTTTGTTGTTCCGAAAGAGACAAAGAGACGAGTGGGAGTGTGGAAGAAAGAGGGACACTAGCACTGATCTATTCGTACTTCGATAGGGACGATGAGATGTCAGCGCCCAGCCGTAAGTAAGTGTAATACACCGATCCTCGTGTTGAATTTTATGAATGGTGTTACGTACTTATGGCTCGTTGAAAAACTAGACGTGGAACACTTTGTCCAAAGTCAACGTTCAAACCGCGAAGATACGAACCGTCCAGCCTTGGTTATCCTCGATAGACTAGCTCTTTGTCCACTAGTTGCTGCAGACGCTTCATGATTAGATCGATTAGATAGAAGGAATCGTATCTGGGCAATTTGATCTCACCTCTTCTCGTCATCCAAACCCCCATGCCCTTTTCGTTATAGCAGCGTCAATTGCTTTACTCACCGGTCGTATGTTCTCGTTCTCGTGGAACAGGGCCAGGAGGAAGCCGATAGCGTGGATCAATTTATTTCAGGATGCTATGCAAGAGATGCTGTGCACTGCGCAGTCTAGGTACCTAGAGAGGATCGACAGCCTTCAGCTCAGACCGCACATGACGAAATCGATTCATGACAAGGTACGAGAATTCTAAACCGAACTA